ATTCAGTTCTCTATTTGTATGTGACTATATAAATATACTAGTTTTGATGTACGTGTGTTGCACAAGAATGCCACAATTTTGATGCACGTGTATGCCATAACTTTGATGCACGTGTATTGCACGTGAATGTCAAATCATTTAATACACTATTTTTTAAAATAATGTCAATATTATTAAATAAAAAATTTCCTCAAAATTTGTCACATAAATATGACATTCTGCATCACCGAAATTTCTTTTGTTGGATGTTGTGTATCGTAGTAGATCAAATGTACCAATCATCCTAGGAACAATACACCAGACTTTCATATCAATATATCGTCTGATGCATGCGTGTTGTACCAGATCAGAAAGTACAAATATGACAAAGTTGATCGTAAGCGCAACCAACATAATATAGTGACCGATATGGAATCAAAATGATCAAATAATCCTAACGTTGCTATGGGCTCAATCAGTGGAAAACGTGCAAAACATTATCACGAAGGAAAAAAAAGGGAAAAATAGTATATATTTGGTTATAAACAAATTATAAACATATATAGACGATAAAAGTACGTTAATAGAAGTATATACTTACAAGTATAGTCGACTTAAGGTCCATGCAATACATGATTGTTACGTTGATGCTGAAATGTAAAGCAAATAATGATTTTCGTTTTGATGGCAAATGAAGAAATCAAAATGCTTTGACAAATGTAAAACAAATAACTTATTCAATATATACATAATATACATGAATTATATATTGAATAACTTGTGTATTAATGTGGCCTATGAGTATCAAGAAAGGTCATTGATATATATATATATATTAAGTACCCAACTTCGATCTTAATATCTTTTATTTTCTCACGTTTATATTAAGTATAAGAATTCAGTTCGATTCCAAGCTTCGATCTATCTTAATATCTTTTATTTTTGCTTAAAATATCTTATTGAATCGAAGTGTTTAATACAATACCATACCAAACAATATAAATTGTATAACTTAATAGTAGCTCTATTTCTTTTTTTGATGTTTAATTTGTTTGCATGGCAAATCTTGAAATTGACCGAATCACTATAGAGACTAGGAGACAAGACTTATTTTGGAAGGGAAAACTTCTGGAATAAGATGTAATTAGCCCCCAAATGTATGGAGTTTTGTAAAACGCCCTAACTAATATTGGACGAAGGCGGTCTTAGGTTTTGGATCATAACAAAATATTTGGGCTTATACAGAATTCTTTAATGGGCTTTAAGATTGGGCTTTCAACTCTTAGACACTCCACAACTTTGTTACCAGTCTTGAATAATCAAGCCAATTTAAACTAAGCATTTTTAGGCCTTATTTAGATTTTGTTCATGTTTTTGAAAGTTGTGCAAATATAGCCTTTATTAAATTAAACCTTTCATAAATCGTTAGATTCAGGTCTCAAGTTTGCTCATATATTCTCAACCTTATAGACAAAGTATTGGAATGTTGTTTAATATTTGCAAAATGCAATATTTTAAATTTTGATTTAACGTTTTCTCATAAGATTTTCATTTCGTGCAAAACAGATCTTTAGACCGTAGCCTAAAAAGTTCATACGTCCTAAGATTTTATTTTTTTAAAAAATGGTAATTTACTAACCCCAAAGGAAAAGATGGTGAATTCTTGTGAAAGAAAAAAGAAAAAAAAAAGGTAGTACAATAAATTGCAATGGCAAAGTTAGGAGTTTGACGAATAATGTGTAAATTTTCTTCTTAATTATATTAAAGATGTACAAAATTAAATATATACTCATAATTTTCTGATAAATAATATCCATTAGATCACCATTCGCGTAAAATAGCTCATCCGCCCATATTACTTCATTAGATGCATTATTAGTTTGAATGATAAACTAATAGTTATTGAGAAAATAGTTTATTCTAATCATGAAAAGGTACCCCATGAGTTTAAAATAATTTTTCTCCATTCTAAAATACCACAATTATATTGGCTACATTTTTTAAAATTTTTTGTTGATAAGTAAGTTGGTCCTATTATTATAGATTATCCTACATATTTGGAACTAATATATGTTTGATTACTTTATTAAGAGTCTGTTTGACAATGCTGCTAGGAATGACTTATTTTTAGAAGCCTCTAAAATGACTTTTTAGAAAAGTGCTTTTGAAAAATAATAATTTGTGTTTAGCTAATTTATTTGAAAAATGTTTTTCATAAGCAAATTGTGTTTGACTGGTCTTTCTTAACAACATAAACCTACTAATATTAGATATGAATCATAATTTTCAAAATTAAAAAATTAAATTCATAAAATTTAAATATTAAATTCGTCTTTTTGAGTTAACCACGCCACATGAATTAGAATTGGAAAAATAAATTTTGTTATACCAAAACGAATAATGTATCAATTTCTTTGAAAATTCTTCTCTTATTTTTTTCCCCTTGATAAGTCAATTTTTGCAACATACTAGTATGTAAAGAAGAAATAATACAATACGACTAAAATTTAGAAACTTCCGCAAAATGTACACTGATAGTGACTCATCTCGTCAAACGCCGCCCACAGCACCAACACTACAATTCATCATTAAGATCTGGTTAATTTACTCGTACTCGATATTTATATTAAATTAATAAATATATTTCTATATTTTTTTAATGAAATTTTTGACTTCGCTATTTCGAAACCAATAAACCATAGCTATGTATAGAGGTGGAGCTAGATAATGAGCTGCGAGTTCGGACTAATTCAGTAATTTTTATTTAGATTATGTTTTTGTATTGAAAAATTGACCAAGTATGTATAAATATTTAGTTGTGAATCGGTAACTAAGATAAAGGAAAGTGCTAAATGGCCAGAAAATTTGGTCAGAATTTGGCCAGAAAATTTTTAAAAACTATAATTTTTTTAAAATTTTTAAATAAACTGATCTTTTTTCCATTTTTTTAGTTAAAATGTATTAAAGTTAAAAGGATAAAAATGTTTAAGAAAGTAAAATATCATTATGGCCAAATTTTGGTCAAATTTTCTGGCCAATTTTTTTTTTCCTGAGATAAATTATAAATTAAACAAATTCAGAACTCACAAACTTAAAATCTTAATTAAATGTACGTGTTAACTACATTTTTTCAGCTACCCTTACAATTTGGTCACCAATATAAGAGTAGTATTGTGACTTTTAGGTAGGTGATGCATAAAATTAAGTGACTTTAATTTTGATGGAGAAAAACAAACTATAGTTTTCTTGTCATTTATGAAAGATAAATCTTTTTAATAATAATGAAAGTTTAATAAAGCGAAATAGACTATTACTATGCATCGACACCAATAAATTGAGGTAAATTATATGATTTTTTTTTTGGATTTTTTTTACTTGGTATTTGGAATCGTATTGAAGTCCCAACTACGATTCCAAAATTTGATCGGGTGAAAGTCTCACTTGTGATTGTTATTAGATCACGTTAAACTTCTATCATTACTTCATATTTAAAGACAATATACTCTTTAAAATAAACAAAATATAATATATTTCTCATATAAAGAGATAAAAAATATACTCTGTCTTTCTTCCAAAGTAAATGTCACTTTAAAAAATTCAAAAGAATAAATAATAATTATTTTTAACTATACTCATAATATTAAAAAACTTCTTAATAATACTAGTAATTCTTAAAAAATACCGAAGAATAATTTAATAAATTATATACTAGATTTATTATTTTTATTTATGAACATTAGAAAAAAACCACACGTATTTTTGGACGAAAAATATAAAATTTATGAATAATTGATTACAAAGCAAACATATTGAAAATAACATGGAATTTCACATTTATTATTTGTTCATGATTCATGAATTCAAGGAGTTTCATATTTTTTCACGCATTAGTCGTTGCCACGTACAAATTTCCAAAAGAAAGAATAACTCAATGGTCCTCTCCAATTCCCACATTAATTATTAATAATCAATGAATTTGTACGACTCTTATAATACTTTCGCTCCGTCATCTTTACTCGTTCAGTATTAATTTATTATATTTTCAAAAAATTAATAAATAAAATAATAATTTTATTAGTTGTGATTTAAATATTAATTACTAAAAGTTCATTTGATTAGAAAGACAAAAGATAATTTTAAAAAATTAATTAATTTTAACATAATTTTATCACATATTCGATTAGGATTCACACAATAACTTTTTCAAAATTAGTTATTTCGAAATAATATTGATCAGCAAATTTTGGAATAACTTATTCCTCGACCAAATGACCCTTAAGTGATAAATTATTTTTTGATCTTTCAAATTGAACATTTATTTTTAGTATAACGAACAATAAACAAGGAAGTATAATTTATACGCCCTCCATTCACTTTTACTTGTTCACCATCTCAAAAATATATTTTTATTGTCATTTTTAACATATCAAGAAAAATAAAATATTTTCTTCAAATGTTACGTTTAACATTAATTACTTATTTTTCAAAATCTTATATTCCCCGCCCTCTGTCCAACAATAGTTGTCAACTATTGACTTGACATAGAGAATAATAAGTAGTTTATGATATAAGTAATTTTATCAAATCATTTTATTAAATATAAGTCATATAAATATTGAAAAATGAATAGTAATTAATAATAAGAGTAAAATAGATACAAAATGATATATTTATTCATCGATTTTATAAACTTAATAAGTATTGCTGGACATTTTAAAATAGTACAATGAATAAGTGACGATAAACTGAGGGAATACTAAATATACTAGGACTATCAATTAATATGAATAAGCCGATAAAACGATCATGTTTTTTTAGTGAGTGTGCCAAATTTGAACGTGACACATAAAATCAATTAATATGAATAATCCGATAAAACAATCATGTTTTTTTAATGAGTGTGTCAAATTTAAACATGACACGTAAAAATGAAGGGAAAGATTAATATAATTCCAAAATTCGAAGTAGTGGTTTTTCATCTGACACACTCTCGCACAAAAGAAGCGCAAGTGCCCAAACGCCTCTTCTTCCCTCCTACCCACCCCCACCCCCCCAATAACCCCCTACCCCCAAAGGACCTTTTTCACCGTTTTTCTTCACTTTCTGACTCATCACCCAATTCAATCTATACGTACACGAATCCTATCTCTATAGCTTCTGCTTTCAATCGTCTTTCTTCATCTCTGATTTTCAGTAAGCTTCTCTACTGTTTATTTTGTTGTTTTCAGCTTCAATTCGACTTCGTAGTATTTTTTTTTTGAATTTCTCAGCTTGTTATATGGAATTCTGGAGATTATGTTGTTGTTTTCATGAATTTTGGATTTGATTTTTTTTTTTTTGGATCATTTTGATGTGTTGGACTGGAAATAGGGCTTGTTGTGTTAGCTTAATGGCGATTGAGTAGCTTTACTTTGGTCAGCTGCTGTTTACTGTGTTTTGTCGATTTCAAAGTTAAAATTATCTATGAGTGGGTATGTTTATATGTATAGACTGGATTTTGGTGGTGTGATCGATCCGCGAGAGAGTAGATTCAAAAATTTGAGTCCTCTTTGGTGTTTTACTGATGTGTTTTGGACATCGAAAGGTCATGAAATGCACCTTTGTTTAGTTGTTGTTCTATTAAGTTTATTATGAGTTTCTCTCAATTCTCTTGTAGAATTTTATAATCCCGCAGAAACGTAGTGTTGTGTAGGGTCAAAGGTACCTCAATAGATTAGTATGAGCTTGATGAATGTTATAGTTAAAAGTTACTGTTCCGGATTGTGGTTTCATTTGATTAATTTGATTTCAACTATATATAAACGAAGTCCAAATTTCCTTGGTTTTGAATGGCTTAGAGACTTAGACGTATCAGTAAGTTTAATGGCGATGAATAGCTTTACTTTGGTATTGGGGAGAGGTCAGCTGCTGTTCACCATATACAAACAAAGTCCAAATTTCTCGGTTTCAGATGGCTTAGAGACCTAGTCATATTGGTAAGATTTTAACTTATCTTGGAACCTTTCTTTGACCTTGAATCCTAAGGAATTGCTTTCCAGTATCAGTGAACTCTTGTGGAACCCGTTCACAGTAATAAATGCACATAGAACTTGGATTATAACAAAAGATGGCTAGTAATAATTGTTTGAAGATCCTAGAAAGAGATGAGGATAGACCTAAAATAACATGAAGGGTAGCTTACCCAAAAATGCTACAACCTCCCACAATATGTAAATAACTTGGACTTGAAGAGAGCGGAACGGATATAGCGGATTCTTAATCCCAACTAATCCCAACTAGTTTGGGATCGAGACATAGTGGTTGTTGTTTGTTCATAAAAGAGATGTCATGACTAACTTGGTGCAATCTGTGTAACTTTTGCTTCTGAATTGAAAGTCAATCTCTGCCTTTTCCTTTCATTAGAATTTTCTTTCTTTTTTAATAAATGGCACAATTATGTTTATAACAAACTAAGATGGTGCTGGAAATTCTGTACCGTGGAGCAAAAGTATACCCCTTTCTAAACCTGTAGGGACTCTAACAGCTCTAGAAGTGATTCTGCTTCATTTACAAGTTCCATTCTAAATTAAAAAATATAACAAAGAAGATGATGTTGGCCTTTATTCTGGATGGAATCGTATTTATCTTCAAATCACCTCATGTTCCTCTCTTTCCAAACTGTGCACCAGATACAAGCTGGTATAGTGTTCCCCCACTTTGACCTTTGTTCTCTCAGCTCCTACTCTATTCAGCTTCAAAACGAAGTATTGCGGGCCATGGTCCATTTGATGCCCAAAAAATTCAAAAAAGGCTGCCATAGAGGTATTGAGGTCCATGATTTTTTTATTGTTAGCTAATTAGGATTACAACTCCAATTTTATGCTGGATCTCCATTGTATTCCATATATATTGAATTAGAGTTAAAACCCCTATTCAACACTTGCATCGCCATTCTGATCCAATCGATTGCCTGGAAGTGTGGAACACGTGAAAGGTATCACATTTACTTTGCTAGGCCAATACAAATGTAATTCAACCGTGTGACTTTGATTGTATATCACCATCACATAAGCTGAAATTTTGAGATATAATTTCGTGACATAATTTTGGTGGTTGTGCTTAGTGATACATATTTGTTTGTCATGATTTGCTGTATGTTTCATAAATTTCCAAGCTGGTCTCACCTATAAATAGATTGCATGGACTCTGCTAACGAGTAATTTGCAACAAACAATCATAATGCTCCTGCTTCTAGCTTTCATAACAGTGCTTTCCCCTAGTCATTCTGTTAACGTGCACCCTAGTGTATGATGTAATATTGTTCTGCCTGCTATTTTTCTTCTGCATGCTATATATTGGAAGTATTCCTTTGATTGGTACTTATATGGTCAATATAGAGGTCAGGCCTACTTTCTATGGTTCTTGAATCTGCTGCATCACATGATTGATAATGATACTATTATGATGTACTGCTGCAGAGAAAAAAATGAACCAGGAGTGTACCACTTCAGTGGGGTTGACCTAGATAAATTATCAAAAATGGGTAATTGTTGCTGCTGCTGTTGTGCCTCAAAAGGAGTGGAATTGAACGGTTCGCCCTCATTTTATCGTGTAAGTGATATATCCCCATACCCGATGCCATTTACTTTATTTTAATTTCTGAATATTCTGATTAGTGATTACAGCATTCTGGTTCAGAGTCCCTTTGAAGTTTGAAATTTATTTCTCTAGTTGTTTTTGCCTAAAACCATGCCAACTCTACTTATCAGAATTTTAGTATGCTCCAAAAATTTCGAACAGGGAAGAACTAGAAAATCTGGTGTGCAAATTTAGGGACTTAGTGTCTACAAGTTAAAAGAATTAGAGCACTAACAGATACTGTCAGATTTCTGTCCAGGGAGTGTACACGTAAGGGGAAGCATTACTGGATGTGTTGTTCATGCTTCATTGGTTGATAAACCTTGGTTCTGAATCTCCATGTTGCATGCCGTGACATAATGTAATAACCTGGGATAGTTGACTGTTTGTTATATAATATAGGGTTCCAATCCTTTTGTCGTCTTCTTATTTCCCATCCGTTCTACGCTGGCTATAAGCACTTTCCAGAAAGCGCCTTTGGTTTTCTACTGCAGTTTTTTTCTTAGTATGTTTGGTTATTCGTTCATCCATTGGCAAAACCTTTATTTTTTTCTCTTTTTGCAAGAGGTGTTTATATGATTTTTCTTGAACAAAATCCACTATATGGTCCCAAATCTATGCAAATGCCTCATTGTCTTGGATATTGGGCAGTATACTGGTCCTTGACAGAGAAGCTGGTCTATTATCATAGTGCTGTGAGCAGTCATTTTAGTCAGGAAAGAGGATTAGGTAAAGAGAAAAGGGGTTGGATATTAGAGGATGAGTTACAAACATTTGTAAGTTGTAACTAAAGTCCGCTATTACATGCTGAATGCTCTCTATAGTTGAAGATTGTAGTCCTTCCATTTTGATGGGATTAACTGCATTACAATCCTTGTGGATTTGTGCTGTGCCCGAATGGATTTATATAAATTTAAAATTTTCTGCAGTATCCTACAGTGCCAGAAGAGCGCGAACCTTTGTCATCTCATCATGTCACAGCTGCAGCATTCTCCACTGCGCTTTTGGTTGATACAAATCTGGACACCTCAAGTCCTGACACCTACAGGCCACCTCCAATGCCAATGCCTTATGAAACGTATGTGGGAAGGCCCAGGACTCCACCAGGTAATCCAGATGGCATCAAGAATGAGGCGGCAGTTCAAGAAACAAACAGTGAAGCTGGTGGCGCACTGAACTCAGCAGACGCTGCCGAAGCTGTTGACAAGGATAAAAAGGAGTCTGAAGGCAACGTGCAAACAGCAGATATCCAGCTCGATGCAATAAAGGAAGTGGAAGATGAACTTGAGAAGTCTGATGAACTCAAAAAATCCAACGTACTTGTACTTTTACCTCCACAAGAAGAGTGTCCCATCTGTCTTGAAGGTGAGTCATAGCTTTAAGCACTGTTGCTCCCAACTCTCCGCTTCTAGCTTCAACTAGAAACTGTACAATGACACAACTCCTTGTTGCAGAATATGATGCTGAGAATCCAAAAATGAGTACAAAATGCGAGCATCAGTTTCATCTTTCATGCATTCTTGAATGGATGGAGAGAAGTGACACCTGCCCCGTCTGTGATCAGGTTTGTTTCAAGTTGTAATAACCTCAACTAGATTGGTAATACGAGCTACCTCTAAGATAGCATGATAATCATTGTCCTCTTCTCTTTGGTTGTAGGAAACGGTTTTTAATCCTGCAATTGATGAATAGCAACAAGAATTCCGCCTGTAGGTGGTTGGTTGCAGAAGTGACATTTGTTGTATGCCAAGAAGTGTTGTTCAATACTTTGTGTCGATGATAGTTTTACAGCTTTAGCCGTAGTTTCTTCACATGTTTCCTTCTTGTGTTTGCTTCAAATCGTTAAGCTTGGATGTGGAAATAATTAGGATAATGATTGAAAAGGTCAAGAAAAAAGAGGAAAAAGAAAAAGATTGATTTCAATTCATCGCATAGGTTCGTTTCCATTGTGAATATCCTTTTTTCTTTAATCCATGATATATAGGCATTTCTCAATTTGCAGTTTTTTTGTGCATTTCTGTATCTCTTGACGTAGAGACCGAGTCTTTTTTCTTTTTTTTCTTTTGTTGTGAATTTTTGGGTCAGTTGATAATGAATTGGTAGCTCCATTTTCTCTGTTTGTAAATATTCAGATAGTATAGGAATTCCTCCATTTTTGTGTACAAGGTCACACTTAAGCATTGAAATTTTGTGCAATTTTGCAGTTGTTCTACATACAAAGTCTCTCATACATAACCTTTATAGTGTATATAAAGCATTCCCAGGGGGTTGGTTTTGTCCTGTTTGATTCTTCGTCTTTGTTGATACTCCAGTATTCAGCTTTGAAACTCGATGAATAATATAGTTTACTGCTTCAATGCTTACCTTTCTATCCGTTTCCACAAAACTTAAATACTTGATGTGGTTCACGGAGCTGCACATGTTTTTGAGTTTGAAATGGCCAGACCCATAACCGAGCTGGAACCCGGATGGGCCATGCCTGAATTGAGACGGGTCAGGATCGACGACCTGTCACGTTTGATAGCCTTACTGTAGGCTGGTTGAATATTTCCAGTTATGGGAGAATCGAAGCTTTACAAAGTATTATGTTTTGCATTGAAATTTTTATAAAGAAACTAAAATGCAAAAAATATTTTATTTTTTTAAAGGAATATTATTGCTACAAGTACTTTAATCATGGTAACATTACTAGTCATTCATAACTATAATGAAAATGGATTAGACAAAAATCTAATGATCTCAACATGTGACTTGTCGGGTGATTTGTCATTTAAGAATAGTAAGATAAATATCAAAATAGGAAAATTATCGGAAATCAAATTACCAAATAAAATTGGGATTTATTGTATTGAAGTTTAATTATCGAAGTACGGTAGGGGCGTATAAAACCGAACCAAATCACAAATTGAGTCAAATCGGAAAAAAAACCCGACTAATGGTTTGGTATTGGAAAAAAAAAACCCGACTACATTTGGGTTGGCTTGGTTTTAACTAAAAAAACCAACTCGACATTATATATGTAATTTTAAAATTTTATACATTAACTTTGATATAATTTTAAAATATTTCTTATACTATTTCATAGTTTTTATCTTTTAATATATTATTTCAAGTTTAAAACTTAGAATTCGGAATGGTCCAATAAAGATTATAGTTCATAGCTGTTGATAATTATAATAAAACTTAAATCAAAATCAAATTAATATTAATGCAAAAAGAAAATCAATTCAACACTAAGAATGACAATAATAATATTGAATATTTGTTCTTTAGTTTTACATTGGTTTAAACAATTAAAATACATAATATAATTTTAATTTTCCTTAACTATTCAATAATGTAACTAATACTTATTAAGCTTATTTTAGCATGATTTAGTACTTTTAAATTATGATCATTTTCATTATGACTTTGCAATATTTATTTTATATGATGATTTCATTATTATTTTTTATTGAGTATTTTAGTGTCATCAGTACTCATCTCATATTTTGTGTTATTTTCTTAAGAAACACCTTAAATAATTATATTTTGGTTGGACTAAAGAAATATTTGGAGCACAAGTTAATTATATGTTTGTATGAAAACTTTACCGAAAAAATCCAAAAATCTGGAAAAAAAAATCCGAGGTTTATTAGTTTGGTTTGATTTATGAATTAAAAAATTCGACACAATGGTTTGGTTTGATATTTGAAAAACCCGAACCAACCCGAGGTTAAACAAAAAAAAATCAAATTTTATTAGTTTGGTTTGGCTTATAAATTTAAAATTTTTACACAAATGGTTTGGTTTGATATTTGAAAAACCCGAACCAACCCGGTCTTGTAAAGTTGTACACCCCTACGAAGTAGATTGAATTTTGAATATTCAGTATTTGGTATGTATGATTAATTATTGATTGTCGAATTAACAAAATTGAACTCTCAAAATATTATATTAGATATCGAACTTTCAATCCTAAGGAATTGTTTGTCATATATACATGCAATATTAACAAGTGATTTGAATGTCTTGATTGATCTATATCGATAAATTCAATGCAAAAAGCTTGAGAGTGGAGATTTTACATAATTTCTCTAAAATCTAATATGTCAAATGTTGGATAAATTAAGATATGCTTTTATCAACATATGTTTTCTTTCGACATATAACTACGGTATTATTGTATCCAAGTTTGATTTATCGGATGAACTATAAAAGTCTCGTATTTAATGTCTACTTGAATTATGATCATCGAAATCCAACGTCAAAAATACTGAAAGCCCACTCTCCCTATTTAGAATACTAAATACGGGATATAAATAAAATTATGATATAGTTCCCTATAGAATTAAATCTGAGAGATTAAATTTTCTCCCTTATCTGATTGATTATATCCCTGCAAAATTAAGTTTCTAATATACACACTAATTATACACATGGTTTTATCTAATCATTATATACATTATTTATACAATATATCACGATAAACATGATCTAAGAAAAATATTTTCCAAAAGTAACTTAGTGTATTTCAAGTTATATAAAGGTCATTTAAATTGTCGACAGTCACATTATGTTTTTTCCCCTTTTATTAACGACTTTTGATGTAATATCTTGAATAGTTCAAATTGAACCCCTTTCATATGTTTTTACTTGTTCATTATAGTAAAACTAAACGTCTATTTTTACTTGTCATACTTTAAAAACCAAGAGATAGTTTATTATTTTATATCTATTTTACTCCTATTATCAAGTACTATTCATTTTTCATTATCTAAAGTACTATTTTATTTATTACTTCTTAAAGATTATGTTGAGTCAAATATAAATAAGTAAACATGAACGAAGAGAATATATTAAATCAATATCAAATTCGAGTTCTCTATATATTTTTAATCTATTTATTATAGTCTTTTAAATTTGTCACAAACTAAACAATTTAATTCACATCAAATTTTAATAAACTCTAACTGTTAAATTTTGATCCATATGTCACATGTCCTCCTTTAATTAGTTATTTTGCCATGTTAACGCGAGTATCTTTCAGACATTTCATATTTTTGGTTGATTATAATTTTAAAAATTATTTAATAAGTACATGTTATGAGTAGATTAAGTGTATAATAGGTATAAGGTAGAATAGAAGTATCAAAACAAATTATGCGAACAATTTTAAGTATCATCGATGACTTAAATCTAAAAAGATTGAAGAAAGTAATTTATTACTTTTAATATTTTATCTACTTAGATAATTATGAAAATATTATTTTAAAAATAATTAAGAAATTCATACTGAATTATAAGACGAGAATCATTAGGTTTAACTCTCCTCATTTTATGATTACAAAATTATTCTGTGATTATAATAACCGTAAGATTATGATCTCGTATTCAATATAAGGTAGTAAACAATAATAAGATTCTGATATAAAATATTATCGGTATTAGTTAAAATTCATAACCAAACACGATATAAATATAATTTCGAATTTATGTCAACAGTAGAATACTAATTTCAGTAGCTAAACGATCCCACAAAGTTAACTGATTCATATATCCCTTAAAACTAATGTGATAAATAAATTTCTTTAACGAGTGGGTTAAAACTTCAAATGATCACAACAAAAAGATAGAAGAAAGTTATTTATGATAATATTTTATTTATTTGGTAATTATGAAAATATTAGTTTTAAATACTTAGGAAACTAATTTCTAAATTATAAGACGAGAATCACAAGGTTCAACTCTCTTCGTTTAATGAATACAAAATTATCTAGTTATTAAAATAATTTTAAGATTATGATCCCGCATCCATATGAGGTATACCGAACAATAACATAATCAGTAAAATTCCACAAATAAAGTTTGGGAAGGATAGAATATATGGAGGCCTTATCACTACCTTACGGAGGTAGAGAAGTTGTTCTCAATAGACCATCAGCGCAAGAGCAACACCTTCATGTATAAAATTAAAAAATAATGACGAGAACATAACAACTAATAGAAGTAGTGCAAAGCCTACATGAAAAGAATATGAACACCAACATTGTAATGCAGTAGCCGAGCAGATGAAGATAGATATAAAAAATTTCTAGAACCAACAAGACCGAACCCTCGAAAGCAAGATAACACTATATTACCTACTAATTTTCTACCATAATATGTGACTTTCACAGTACCCTTTTGTCTAAGATCATGCCCTCAATAATTTGAAGTTTGCACCGTGTTTTTCTAATCACCTCTTCCTGATAGCTTTTTGGCCTATTTTTACCTCTCATCCTGCCTACTACACTAGCTAGACTCTCGCCCCTCTTCACCGAGGCGTCTGCGCATCTCCGCTTCACATAGGCAAACCATTACAATCTTGCCGCTCTCATCTTGTCCACCATGGAGGCCACTCTACCTTGTCCCGGATAATCTCATTCTCAATTGTATCACTCCTAATATGCTTACACATTCATCTCTCCATCCTTATTTGCGCAACTTGCATCTTTTAAACATGAGAGTTCTTAATTGTGCAACACCCTGCTCCATACAACAATAACGGTGTGACCACCACTCTATGAAATTTACCTTTAAATTTTGTTGATACATAATTATCACACAAAACTTCAGAAGCAAGCCTTCACTTCACCACACCGTATCAATATGATGTACGATAGTATTGTTGATGTTCCCACTTTTCTGGATTAAAAACCTGATGTTTAACAAGAGTTACAAGATTTAATGAGAATTATGAGATTTGACGAGGTTTAACTCTCTTCTTTTAGTTTTATCAAAATAAATTACAAAACTATTTAATTTAGAGACTATACCTAGTATTATTATCCCGCATTCAACATCATATAGTGCTTAATATAAGTTTTTGATCTAAAATTTTATCGATATTACGTAATATTACGATCAAATGCCGGAATAAATATAATCTCAAACTTTATATTAGCATAAGAATACTAATCCCGATAACCAAACGACCCCAATAGGGTATTATTTTCAAAACTGATTAATCCAACGGTAACTAATTTGTTTTTACATCATTCTCATTATATATCTTATATTCTTCTACTACTATTTTCTAAAAAAATTAAATGTTAGTGTTCATTATATTTATAGATAATTTGACTATTATTTATTATTGGTTAATTAATTTATCCTATTTTTTCTTTAGTCCGTTTCGAAAAGATATTTTTTTTTAATAACTTTTTAATTTTAATTTTTCA